AACATGTTTATGATTAAAAAAAAGAAAATAACTTAGCTAAGTTGGAAATGTACTTTTAATTGTGCCAACAAATATGCAAAAACTATTAATTTGACTTTAGAAAACATAGTCATAAGAAGCGGATATTAAATCATTGACGGCAAAAGCTGTGTAAAGGGATGAATTAAAATTATTTTGTGCCTCTAAGCATTAGCACCAAGAGATAACAAGTACATGTGGACAAATGATTATTGGACATACGTGACACATAAAAGGAAGTGCACAAATAACTCTCAATAATTCCTGGAATGGACACAGTGGGATAGATCGAAGAGTGAGTAATACAAGACCGTATAATAGCAAGCAATTTAACAACAATTTACAGAAGTCGTCACAATCTTTCAGCACGTTGAGGGTCTTTGTGTAGGCGGCAACACTACACAGCTGGAGCACAGCCCTGAAAACTGCAGTAGTTAGTAATAGTAACTACTGCTCACAAAACAGTAGGCTATGAGCAATCGATTAGATTACAAACCTCAGAAATATGAGGAAAAGGCACAATAGCTTTTCTGTACAAACTCTGAACATGGTGCATTACAAGAGACACCAATGGAAAAAAAGGAATCAGCCTAAAAAAAGGCAACACTCAATAGATAATCTGATAAATTTTGGAACCAGTGAATCCACCTCCTATGATATACTGTATGATTTATCAGTATAATCAAGGCATTTATTAAAAAAAATATATATATCAGTTAAAAAAAATCCAAGGATTGGTACCTGAGGACTAATTGATTTTTAAAAAAAACATTTTCATTATATAGTAAGTTAAAAGTTTTATTTTATTTTTCCATAGATTGCAGCTAAGGTTGACAGCCAGGGATCACAATGCATTTATGTTGGATGTTAAAGAGCAGCTTTGACATTTTGATAACCGTGCCCTTTATAGGGGAACAAGTCATATGAGTTTGAAGAGATATTTAGGTAGACAAAGGTGATGACAGAATTTTAAGGTTAAAACAAATGGTCTGTAGGAGGTGTGATGTGACTAAATTTAGATTAAATAAATTTGCTGTCATAGCAATAAATAAATCAAAAGTTTTTTTATGTTTTTTTTTTGTTGCAGTGGGCACGTTTGCATGAGCATGATTACTGGTTGTTGGCACGATGATCTATGGCCCAATAAACTTTAATCTTGGTCATCAAAGGATGGTTGCAAAGCCTTGGGCAAAGCAATGATTGCAGAGTTTTGTTTTGCCTCTAAATTGTCATATGTAATTGTGTCATGTTCATAAACACTGTATATCACAAACATATCACTACAAACTAAGTGTCAAGTCACATTTGATCAAAGCGCTAGTGCTGTTCAGTGCTAAAGGCTATGTGACTTATTGATTTGACTGTTCTTCCCTGATATATAATTGCCTCTGACTACCATAATATTGTGGCTACCAACCAGCAGATACAGCATTTGATCATATCTTTCTGTTGGCTATTACAACACTGCAGAAAGTGCTCACCGTTTAAATGGTAGAACTTCCATTTGAGATTTGTTGAGATATAGAAATCCAACAGCATGAAATATACTGCACTCTTTCCTTTGATACTCGGTTGAAGATGGTGCATTTAGAAAATATTTTCTTAGTCATTCAAAACATTTATTTTAACTTTTGCATTGAATAATAATAATGAAAATAAGAAACAGACGAAATAGACAGCATTCAATCTGTCACAATCCGCTGGAGCACGGAAACGAGGAGACATGGAGATTTCACAAAAACGAGAGTCTTTTATGATTCAATAGGGAGACACAGAGCACAAGGATGACAGTGGAATTTTTTGACTCCTCGTGCCTCAACCATGTTTGACCAAATCTGAGATTGTCTGATTCGGTCTGATATCCTACATGATGAAACAAGCAATATTTCTACACCGATAACTGTTTGGCAAGTCCCATAGGAAGGTGCTGTCAAAATGATCCTTGTTTTATCTGATAGCTGCTTTGCCAATTCGTTTTGTTTATATTTGAAAGAACTTTGTGATTCCTGAAGTAGGAAATTTATTTTCTTTCAAGGCAAGTTTTAGGTAAGCTTAAGTTCAGTTTAAATTTTTTATCTCAATCATAATGTCAAAATATTTCGAATGTATGTGTACAATAGCTCATAACAATATCAAGTATGTTCTTGTGAACTGGCCTTATATTGCACATCGAATTAAGCAATATCAAGATAACTGTTGTACCGAATAACAAAATTTGGCCATAAACACAGTTGTGCTGATATTGCATACAGCTTGATTGTGTTTATCCAGCAAAGTTGGCCAGTTAATATTTATCTCTCCCAATGAAAATATAAAAAATAAGTTAAAGCCTCAAGCTTCATGTGTCACCAAGCAACAAAAAAACATACATTTTTAAATATAAATACTGTATGTGTCAGACTCTTTTCCATGTTTTGTGTGTGTTTTGCTCAGTTCAGCGTCCGATATTGTTTATGTCAACCTCAGCTACGTGTGTTTTCCTGGTTCCCTTGATGTTATTAAAGTCTCCTTGTTTATGTACTCCACATCTCCTCATTCTTCTCTGACTGCATGTTTAGATTCTATCATGATATTTTCTTGTCCCCAATCCCAGTGTGTGCAGTCAAGCACATATATAATTTACACACTAAGGGCATCATTTGCCCTGTAATACATAAAGGCTGCAATGCGTTTGCATAATGAAATGTTATGTGAGCATAGCCAATTATTCCTCAGTTTTCTGCTGTTTTCATCAGACTCCATATTTTCATGCTAAGAGAAAAGGTAAAACCGCCTATGTATGATACACAGGACCTGCCGTCTAAGTATATTAGATATGTCCCGGTAAATCTGAATTATCGATTTGTGTGAAGTTTTCTGGAACACTAATGAAAACAGCACATTACAGACAGACCATGAATCTATAAAGAAGGCCAAGCCCAACAGGACACCTCTCTGCTTTACACAGTAAACATACCTGCTTCAGCTAATCGTGACCCACTGGGTATCTGCAAAACTGAGTCAGATGTTTTAGATTAAAGATTTAGTGGGGTGTTGGATTAGAATTGAGCAACATTTGTTATTTTTCCCCCCTTAGATTTTATACCAGAGATCGCTCCAGTGTCGGCTCCAGTCCTATTGTCTAGCCCAGAGAGGGTCCCAGTCCCAGAGTTTAGCCCAGTGAGGGCCCCAGTCCTCGAGTTTAGCCTAGAGAGGACCCCAGTCCCTGAGTTTGGCCCATAGAGGGTTCCAGTCTCTTAGTTAACCTCAAGGAGGGCTCCAGTCCCCATGTCCAGCCCAAGGAGGGCTCCAGTCCTCACGTCAAACCCAGGGAGGGCACACAGTTCCCGAGTTAGGTCTATGGAGGGCCTCTAAAGACTATATTCTCACCAAGGATTTTTTTTGGGGGGGTAGTAGGGGTCCATCCGTGGAGGCCGGACTGAATGCCGAGGCCAGGCTCCCCGAGCGCCCTGTTCCGCCATGGCCTCCTGAACGGTCTGCTCCGCCGTGGCCTCCTAGTCTGCCTGCTTTGCCACAGCCTCCTAGTCTGCCTGCTCCGCCATGTCTTCCTAGTCTGCCTGCTCCGCCACAGCCTCCTAGTCTGCCTGCTCCGCCATATCTTCCTAGTCTGCCTGCTCTGCCATGGCTCCCCGAGCTGCCTGTTCCGCCATGGCTCCCCAAGCTGCCTGTTCCGCCATGGCTTCCTAGTCTGCCTGATCCGCCATGGCTCCCCGAGCTGCCTGATCCGGAACGGATACCGCCCTGGAGGCCGTCCGTCCCTGTAAGCCTGTCCTGAGAGGCCTCCAGAGCATCTTCCAGGAGGGGGGAGTAATGTCAGACTCTGTTCCGTGTTTTGTGTGTGTTTTGCTCCCCATGTGTTTCTATGCCCATATTTGGTCCTTCCCGTTCCTGTCCTTATCATTTGTTCCAGGTGTTTCCCATTTAGTTATATTGATCCCAGGTGTGTCTTGGCATCCCCTCGTCATGTCATCTGTATATATAAAGTGTTCCCTGTTCTTAGTTCGGTGTCCGGTATTGTTTGTCAACCTCCTCAGCTACGTGTGTTTTCCTGGTTCCCTTGATGTTATTAAAGTCTCCTCGTTTATGTACTCCACGTCTCCTCGTTCCTCGCTCCCTCACAGTAGCGATCGTGACAACATGCTTGTTTAATTCTTGCTTAATGACCTTTCATTACAAAAATGACAGGTCTTGTACACATTTAATTTAAAAAAGCAGCATTGATTGACAGATTTTTATTTTTCATAGAATTGTGGTAGCAATATTAAGGACAACAACTTTACAGTAATTTACAGTAAACGAAAAAATTATTAACAGCTAAAATCTTGAAGTATTAAATTCTGATATCGTCATAAAATACTGACAATAACATTAACATACCGATTATAATATACTGACAACCACCATTATGACAACCACATTGATTATTGTACTGTGTTATAAATAAAATACAAATACAAATCCCCATTATTTTACTCTCCTCACATTCTTTGTTACCTGCTTCACAGACACATTACTGACTGATGGCTCATTTTGTGAGGCCCTTTGTTTCTCAGGTGTGAATCACTAAATATCCATGGCCAATGTCACTCCCTCTCATACAAGCATTCTATCACACAACATGTCTTACGAATGTTAAATTAATATATTGTTTTCTGTGAATGAGTTTACAGGATGATTTTCACATCATTTTGTGGCAAAAACTCTAGTCTAAGACATCCAGTTCTCAAAAGACTCGTGAACAAATGTTATGTATGTGCTTTAGGGCTTTATTTCAGTAACTTAAAAAGTTTAGCTTTTCACTAACCACATTTTTTTTTTTTTTTTTTTTTACTGGATTTTACTGTTAACGTTTTTTAAAAGTATTTACCATAACATCTTTTGTAGTATTACTGTGGAATTATAGTATTTTACCATTAAAATTACACAGAGCATGCAGATTTTCGAAGAACAGGGTATCTCTTCTGAAGCCCCAGCCGTATCAGCATATTGAGACTACAAGCCAGTGTAGATCTTCAAGATTAAGCAAAGGTCACTGTTCTACAAGCAAATAACTCCTCAAATCTTTAGAGAGAACCTTGTTTTAGTAAGCTGATATCTGCAGATGCTCTGCTCTGCATTTCATTTCTGTTTAGATGATATTCATGCATTATGGGATTTCAATTTATATCTAAAATTAAAATGATACAGGCGACCTGTCAGCACACGAATAAAGTTGATCCCTGTTTTGATATTTGTTTCTAGAATGAAAAACAGTTAATGTTCAACTGAATCTCAAAAAAAATATATATATATATATAAATTAAAGCCTATTTGTTAAGTACATGCTGATTTAATGAGGAAACAAATTGTTCCTGCATTACAGTAATCAGCATTATGGGGCAAAATGTACTGTCATCAGAATACTGTCACACTGTACATAACAAGCTGCATTTTTTTCTGTATCTATTGTAGTGTCTGGACCACTCAAACACACAATATATATTTTGTTAGCTAGATTTAACAAATACTCTGCATCAGGATCTATTTTCAGACAGACGAGACTCGCAAGTATCAAACTTAGTCTAATTAATTGATACATTAAGTATCAGTGACACCTATTTACAAAGGTGTGTTTGAACTAAGAATCTGACGTTTCCCTCAGGTGTAGATCTGCTGAATATGCAAATGGTTCCATAAATTTCATTCCTTGTGTCTCTTTTCTGTACTGAGTTAAGCTTTAACCCTTTCCTATACCAACGGTATGCATGTGTGTGTGTGTGTATGTGTATGTTAGACCAGTTTATGTGTTTATGTAGGATGTTAGACCAGTTTATGTGTTTATGTAGTATGTTAGACTAGTTTAAGTGTTTATGTAGTTAATAAAACCTTACTTGTATCACACTTGACGTGGTTCATTGTTTGCTCATAACTGGAGTCACTTAATCATGCAGATTTATGCTACAAGCTTTTGTAGAATTGTACAGTAAGAAAGTTATTTCCCTTAACCAGGAAATTAACGTTCTTAGAATTGACAAGACAGTTGACCCTGAGAGGTCAGCTAAATATCTACAGCGGATCTAAAATATTCATAATTAATTATAACTAGTTATGGTTAATTATTAATATTTCGCATGAGCTGATTCGTTACATATTTTAGACATTTAACTTTAAATGCTCTTGATTATCAGAGATGAAGAAGTTCCGAGATCAGGGAATTCCTCACTGCATGTTTAGATTCTATCATGACATTTTCTAGTCCACAATCCCAGTGTGTGCAGTCAAGCATATATATAATTTACACACTACATTTACACCTGTAATACATAAAGGCTGCAATGCGTTTGCGTAATGAAATGTTATGTGAGCATAGCCAATTATTCCTCAGTTTTCTGCTGTTTTCATCAGACTCCATATTTTCATGCTAAGAGAAAAGGTAAAACTGCCTATGTATGATACACAGGACCTGCCGTCTAAGTATATTAGATATGTTGCAGTAAATCTGAATTATCGATTTTTGTGAAGTTTTCTGGAACACTAATGAAAACAGCATATTACAGACAGACCATGAATCTATAAAGAAGGCCAAGCCCAACAGGACACCTCTCTGCTTTACACAGTAAACATACCTGCTTCAGCTAATCGTGACCCACTGGGTATCTGCAAAACTGAGTCAGATGTTTTAGATTAAAGATTTAGTGGGGTGTTGTATTAGAAATGAGCAACATAAGCAATTTCTCCA